CACTCCATGGCCACTCCATCCTGACCTGGGACAGAATCAGCCACCCCACCACCCACCCCCCCAAAAAAACCCCATTTGTCCAAGGCCCCGTGTTAGCCAAGGGCTTGTCCAGTCTGAGGTTGGTGCTCAGTCACCTGTTTAACACCAAGATAACAGCACGGGTGCAAGTTTCTCCGCAAACGTTTCTGTGACTTTCTTCTGGGGGTGAAGGGACATGGGAACCAGAGACCGGGCGGGGAACCCAGATCCGATGTACGTGGCTCCTTTCCACCCCCGGTCCTGGCCCCTAGGTGAGGAGAAATGGCCTGAAAGCAGGGGCTCTGTTCCCTCAACGCACGCGCCCGGCTGTGTGACCCTGAGAAAAAGGGCTCAACCTCAGTGTCCACGGCTGTGAAGCAAGGGCCCTCATGTGGCTTCACTCATAGGGTTAAGGGAGGAAATGCAGATGAACTGACTCAAACAGGGCCTGGCACGGGGGGCTGGGGGAGGGGGGTGCTCTGTATCTCCGCCAACGTGACTACATGGTCAAGGATGAGTACATTTTTCTTTTCAAGGTTTGGTTCCCGGCTTCCTGGTAGCCATGGCAAAAAGGCAGATACTCCCCTGTCCTGGCCTAAAGCAGAGACTGGGACCCTGTGAGCTGCTTCGATCTTACCAAAGAGCCAGGAGAGCCCCAACCGGTGTGGCTCAGTGGATAGAGCGTCGGCCTGCGGGCTGAAGGGTCCCAGGTTCGATTCCGGTCAAGGGCATGTACCTGGGTTGCGGGCACATCCCCAGTAGGGGGCGTGCAAGAGGCAGCTGATCGATGTTTCTAACTCTCTATCCCTCTCCCTTCCTCTCTGTAAAAAAATCAATAAAATATATTTTAAACAAACAAACAAAAACAAAGAGCCAGGAGAACAGGGTTTACCATGGAGGCTGGCAGGAATCTAGTTTTTTATTCTCATCAGAGATCAAAAAAAAAGTGATTTTCAAGGTCACTGGATGTTGAGGGACATAAATCTGGCCCCTGAGGACTCTCTATTCCAGCGGTCTCAACCTGTGGGTCGAGACCCCTTTTGCGGGTCGAACGACCCTTTCACAGGGGTCTCCTAAGACCATTGGGAAACACAGATATAATTACATATTGTTTTTATGATGAATCACTATGCTTTCATTATGTTCAATTTGTAACAATGAAATTGGGGGTCACCACAGCATGAGGAACTGTATGAAAGGGTCGCGGCGTTAGGAAGGTTGAGAACCACTGCTCTATTCTATTGGGAGAGGGGAGACTGGAATTGGTGCAGGGGATGCTCTTGACCTTGGAAGGCAATGGCTTCCTGAGACTTGAGGACATGACCTTGAGCATCGAGATCTGGGGAACCAGGAGGTGGGGAGGGGAAGGGGACCCCAACACTGCTTGGGGGGAACAATGGATTTTGAAATGCCAGGGAACATATTCAGGGGGACCACTGAAACTTTCTATTTCTGGATCTGGGGGGGGCCTAGAATTGAAACGGGCACCCCAAGATTTTATTATGAGAGGAACAATAGACTCGATCGGAACCTAGGCGATCGGAAAGCCAAAGCTTCTACTTCGGGGGCATCTAGAAGCTGAGAAGCTGGCATCTCGGCTCCGAGCAGTGCAGGGAGCAGCGAATCGGAGCCCCGCTGTCGGTATTTGAGGGGACACGGGGGCTTCCTTGGGGTTCAGGAATTTGGAGCTTTGTATTCGGGGGGAGCCTGTGTTTCCTCCACCTCCTGTTTCTGTTCCCACTCACTCCCCGACCTTCCCTTGTTCCCTGCAAGACGACGAGACCTCGGTGCTTATCTTGAAGGAATGATTTCGGTCAAGAGACGAAGTGCAGCCCTAACCGGTGTGGCTCAGTGGATAGAGCGTCGGCCTGCGGACTGAAAGGTCCCAGGTTCGATTCCGGTCAAGGGCATGTACCTGGGTTGCGGGCACATCCCCAGTAGGGGGTGTGCAGGAGGCAGCTGATCGATGTTCCTCTCGTCGATGTTTCTGACTCTCTGTCCCTCTCCCTTCCTCTCTGTAAAAAATCAATAAAATATATTTTTTTAAAAAAGAGAGAGAGAGATGAAGTGCAGCAAAGCAAGCAAGAATGCATTGGCCACAGCAAATGACCTTCGTGAAACAACAAAGGGCTTAGCCTAGAAGAAGCAACCCAGGTGGGGCCGCTCTGGCTCACTAAGAAGTCAGACAGAAGGGGGCCTCGTAGACGGGCTCAGGGGTGAGCCCAGGACGAGCTGCCGCTGCCCACTGCTCCCCTGGTTGCAAGTTCCATGTGGTCCCTTAGAGGTTAGGAGATGCCTGCCTGGGGGGGAGGAGGGCAGGGAAAGGCAACAGGTGTGCGCCCCAGAGGGAGAGCATGAGCTGGGCCCTCTGTCTTCAGGGCTTTTCTTCCTCTCCTGCAGGTGAGCAATCTCAGGGGAGGCCTCAGGGGAGGGTTTCAGCAGCACATGCGTCCGTTTCCCAGGTGTGCCCTTTCAGGGTCCCGGTCTCCACTGCTTGGCTGGCCCCGGGCTCAGGGGTCATTAGTTATTGCAGCTGGTCCTGACGGGCAGCCATGGCCTCACTTCTCTGGTGTTGCTGCTTTGCTGGGCCTGGAGCTGAAACACGACTGAGGCCTTGGTGTGCAGGTCAAAACAGCAGGACCGGGGAGCGATGCGATAGGGGAGGAAAGTTTACCTGGGAAGGGGGGATGGGGGGGGCAAGGTAGGCACCCGGGCTTTCCACCCTGTGACCTGCTGTACCTGGCCCATCGTCCTTGCTCTGCCCGGGTTTGTCTAACTGCCAATGACATCCTCACTGGCTCTGTCCCCAAGATCAACGCCCCAGGAGCTCGGGGCCCTGCCCTGGCTGCCCCCCTCCACCCCATGTGGTTCCTGGGCCTGGGGCTTGCTCTGTCCCTGGCCAGCACCGGTAAGCCAGCGGGGGAAGATGTGGGAGGGGGGCCGGCCCTGCCTCTCACGCCGCCTTCCTTCCCTCCCAATATAATAAGTCCTTTCCCTCCCCTCCCAGCTCCCCCGCCTGCACCCCTCCACCCACAGTCCTCCCCCCTCCAGGGCCCCAGCCTCTCCTCCCTCCTTACCTTTTCCGCAGTCCTCACTCCCAGGAACCCCCAGAACTTCCGACTCTTCCCCCCTCAGATCCCGCCCTAGCCCCTCTACGAAGGGGGCATCCTGGGCCATCTCAGTCTCGCTCTTTGGGGGACTCCAACTCTTCCGAGGACCCCCCCCCTAATCCCAACAGACCCTGGGACCCTGATCACCTCCTCTCACCTCTCCAGATCTCTACGGCCCAACGGTCTGGCTCCCGAGTCCCCCCCAATCCTACCACTCCGGCTGTCAGCTCTCACACAGGCCCTCCAGTCCCTGGCATCCGGTCCCCCCAATCCTCCCAGGACCCCCCAAATGCCATCAGATGCCTCCGACGGGGGTTCTGTGACCGTCTCTCTCTTCCCTCACGCTTTGCCCCGAGACCCGCATCCAGCACCCCAGGCTTGTCCTCCAGGAGAAAATTCGCACCCCCAACCACCTGCTCCTTCCCTGTGGACTCTCCATCCTTCCCCCAGCTGAGCCTTCTCCCCCTGCACCCCCTGCACAGCTCTGGTTTTCTGGGACAATCCCCGCTCCCCAGGATTCCATATGCCTTCCCGGCCCAAGCTGTCCTGCCCCTCCCGCCCCAAAGTACCCAACACCACGTGGGTCCTCCCTGCATTCCCACAGCTGCTTGGCCCCTGGTATGCCTCTGTCTCCATTCCTGTCCTAACATCACTCCCAAGGGACCCCCCTTTCTTTCCGCCTGCCCTCCCGACTGTGACCCAGCTCCATAGACTCCCCACCATCCCAGAATGACTATCACCGGCTCTCCCACTTTTTGAGCCCAGTCTTGACCCCAGCCCTGCCCCGGGGCTCCCACCCCCCTTAGAATGCCATGGCCTGGTCACAGGACCCCAAACCCTACAGGAGCCCCCTCCCAGCCAGACCCTGTTGGCCACTCTTTGGCCTGGAACCCCAAATTCACTCCACCAGGAGCCCCAGTCACCCCACATTCCCCAGGTGCTTCTTCTTGACCTGATTCCCCAAATCCAGAAGCCCCGAAAGCCCAACCTCCCCCGCAAAAAAGGTCCCTAATCATTTCATCATCCTGGCAGCACCTTAACCCTCCAAATCCTCTCACCCAGGCTCTGAGCCCCTCTCTTGAGGCCTTTAACCTTGATTTCCCCTCTCAGAACCCACAGCCTCTTGTCCTACAGCCCAAGACCCCCCATCACCCCACAAAGCCCACCCCGCACCTGATGGGGCCAGCTCTGCTCTCACAAAACATCCTCCCACCCAGGTCCAGCCACCACCCCCTCC